CTCTTTCTGCTAATAAGTATGTATGATAAAGGATACGTCAGGTTCACAACTTGCAAATTATAGAGCATCAAAACTCGATGAATTATTTGCAATAACCCTGTAGTATTTTCTAAGATGCGTTTTTTTTAACAAAGAGGCTGCAGATATGCTTCGATAAGCATATCTTTGCTTGGGCAACCATGATTGAAGTTAATGATGATACGAATACTAGTAACCTGCACTCATGTTGAAAATTCGGTTTACCAGAACTCCAATTATGGCGAGCGGTAAATCTGTTAACTAAACAGTTGACGAAATTAGATAAATTAATATACTTGTTTTAGATTTATTCATTCTCCTTAAAATTATTCAAAGAACTCATTATCAAAGAACTCAGCTCAAGAGCTGAGCTTATATTAAGCGCATGATTTCATAAATAAATTACTGTCAGATAGCTTTTCTTGAGCCCATTACTCAAGTCACAAAGGTATTGAGACACACAATATATAGATGGTAGCAAAAAAATAAAACAGGCTTTACACCTGAGGATTAAGGATGTATATGACCCTCAGTCCTTCTCATAGAAAAAAAAATTTTTGATGTAAACGTCACTTCTGGACATAATAAAAGAGAGTCACTATTCTTTTGTCTGATAGACAGTCACAGTCTACTAAATGATTCTCGAGATGCTGAATATGAGTCAGTTGAACAGGCGTTTTTCTGCGATTAAAGGGTATTTAGAACAATTATATCAAGTCCTCGCTAGAAGGTGCATGACTAAAAACATTATCCGGGTAAGAGTTTTGTAACCTTTACATGCGACACTTTTACGGAGCGTTATTTGACTCTGAAATTTAAATAACGCTTCGTAAACAATGTGGCCTAAAGTAAAAACGCTTCGTAAACAATGGGGTCTAAAGTAAAAACGCTTAGTAAACAGTGTGGTTTTTGATTGCAAGCGTTTATTTTATTTTCCTTGATAAAAACATTACAGCTCACAGTAATTAATAGACATTAAATTCTTCAAAGAAGATGGTGCTATCTTGATATATAATAGCCATACTGGTATTTGGAACTTAACCTTATACATCACGTGAGTTTGCCTAGGGAAGGTCACTCCATGTCTTCTCTTAAAACATTGCAAAGAATGTTATTTTAGTTTTAAACTAACTAGATTTGCTCACTTACTTATCTTTTCTATCTTCCCACATTTCCATTTTCTGGCAAAATGATATTTTAAGGTAAGCTGATATGCAAAGTAAGGTAGACTATATTAAAAGTACTGTTTAATGTTTGTTATAAAGTACTGTTCAAGCTGGTGTCTGTGTTACTTCAAACAAAGCGTATTCTGCGTTTCGGTTCGCTGATATTTAAGCTTGCTATTTTATGGCTGTGCATATTAATTGCCGGTTTGTCTACGTCGGTGGTAGGGCTACGAGCGAGCTCGAGTTAATTATCTCTCTGCAGCTTAGCTGATCTTGACTGACAATTTAACTTTGTTTTTAATTTTATATTTCTGTTTTGAATTTAAGTCGAAAGTATTGGCACAGTTTGAAAGCACCAGTTTCTTCTTCAGTTGAATAAAAGGGACTTTTTATCCTTCTCATGTCTTATCACTGATACAGTTTGAGCTTCCAGTTCAAGTAAAGATTTAACCAGCAAAGTAAATTTAATTTAGCTAGAATCTTATAACATTTTTGATACGTTTTGGGCATTTCCACTGGTGCGACTAGTGGCTTGTTTGCATGCTTCTTGTATTGCGTAATGTAATGTAATATATGAGTGTGCTGCAACCTTCCTGGCCGGTAATAATCGGCCTCATGGTTAACGCAGTACACCCAACACAGACAATCAAAGATACAGTTAAAAGATTAAAACACAGATTAAAATAGAAACGCAATCAAAAACATCAAACCAAAATTCTCCGTATTGTTCTTTTTCCATTTATAAAGTTCATCAAATCCTTTGCAAATCTAAACTCTTTACTGCGGCAGTAGAATTCCTTTATGCTACCATATTTTTCCTAACATGTCGCAATAATACGCAGTCTTCGACGAAATGTCGTGCATTACTTTTAGCATTACAAAAACTAAAAACTCTATTACTTTGTAAATTAAATCTTTTCAGGTACCCCGGGAAGCGCCCGTGTCCAGTAATTATTTGATTGTAGTCAAAATCCCATGTCCTTCTCATATTTTTAGAAACTTCAAAGTTCAACAAATAATCATTCCTTTTTTGTCCGAAATATTCCATTTCTCTTTTCAGCAATCATACTAGAAAGTCTTGATTTTGCGAATAACAATTCTTTTTAATGCTTGAAATATTTATGTATGTATGAAGCTTTATGTATGAGACCAAAATAATGGTTTTATCAACATCTGCTAGTGCTTCCAAACCAGCAGTTTTTCTTAGATTGCATATTCTAGATCATGAACATTTTTAGCATTGATCTCTAAGGTATTTGTTAATAATCTGCGAAAGTCAATAATTAATAATAAAATTGCAAATAATATCAGTAATAAATTAACAATTAAGTATTAAATACAAAGAAGCAGTAATAATGAGTTGGCCAGTAAACTTTCAAGGTAACTAAATACATTTACATAGCTCTTACTAGCAGTACCTCCAAAACGCCAGCACGACTACTTCAGTCCCAGTCAAGACTTCACCAAGGAAGGAAGCTCTGCACTACTGCACGCCGACCGTGAAAAGCTGCCTCCGCGGACTTACCCTCCGGCTTCTAATTGCAGTCGCTTTTTATCATCCTACTTTTCGATTATGCCATACCATCGACACACCTACAAACGTATTCTGCTGGAAAGATATGCCATCCAAAAACTATCAGCACTAAGGGTCGAAAAAAAGAAAGACATCGATAGGGATAGGACACTTCAGTCCAGGCGCCCTTTGAAAGGAACCTGCCGGTTCATGGATGATACTAGCAGAAAGTGTTCAGCATTTCTCTTTAGTGAAGAGTTTCGGCCAGCTCTGTATTTTTGCTCTGTCTGGCGTACAGAGCCGGAAGAAGGGTGAGGCAAGTAGGTAGTTGCTTCGGGTGAATACCTGAAAAGCGGCCCCAAACGAAACGTTGGATATTCATTTCAGAAAAAGAAATTATGATTGTTAACTTTCAGCTTGGAAGCACATCAAGAAGCAGACTCACCTGGCATCAGCATATTTCCTAAGCAAAGACAGCATAAATTATTAAATCCAGTGCTCAAAATAACAGCAGCTCAGTGGGAGTATCCTCGTAAATGCAAAAGTTTTGGTATTCTGTAATTGCAGAAAGAGTAGCATTGCACGGGGCTTCCATGTGGGGCTCACAAATGAATACGAATATGAAAAATAAATTTGGATCAATGTGCAACGATCTTTTTGGGAGAATATAAATTACATATGTAATTACATATGTAATTATTTCATTGTATATTGAAGAGCGCGTCTGCTTCTTTGCCTCAAGTGAAAAAATATCTACGGGCGACTTTGCTGGTACATTTTGTAAACTGAATTAATTAGTCCTCTTTTAGTTTCTCAGTTGTATTTTATAATCTTCCGAGTCATTAGTTAAAAATGATGTCAGAAGAACTGTAGATGCGTTGGCCGATAATAACCTGAAATTGAGTAGTTTTAATGATATATACAGTGCAGATCTCTAAAATATTATTTGTAACTTTAAGCCCAAAGATTATTGGAGAAGCTGTTGCTTCTATAATGTCACAGCATGTCATCTCACACCTCGTAACTGCCAGACAGACTAGCTGTAAGGAGACCTCTCATGAATTTTCTTACCTTCTTGAGATCCCCTGCAAGTCAAATACCATAAAAACTTCTTAGAAACTTACTAAATGCTAAAAGAACTCATTGAGAGATTTAATTATGTTACTCCGAGATTTATGTACTATCTTTTAGTGTCCTCTTCTCTGGGAGATGTGTTCACATTTCTTTCCAAATTTTAATATCACAGTTTTATATTCTTATTTTTACAATATTTGTATAACGTATATTACATTTTTATTTATTACTGTTTATTTTTTACATTTTATTGCTTTATTATTTATTTTATTATTCTCATGGTAAGAAATATCTTTGTATCAAATTTCATGTTATTTGGGGTACTTTATGAGATATGTAATTTCAGCTTGCCCTCTTAATTTGGAATACCAGTTTATGTAATAAGAATGGGACGTAAGTTGAAATACTAATATTTTTCATTTAATTCATTAAGGTTTATTATTTTTATTTATTAATATTAGATAATTGAGAATCTAACCATTATTAAAATTTTCGAAGTTCAATTAATAACGTTTATGAGCGTACACGCTTTATTTGACTGCATTCCGAAACTTAGAGTTAAAAGTAATATTCCTTTTTTAGATGAAATATAAATATAGTAAATGGTTACGATTCGAAAAATTTGCAGCTACTTTTATCTATTTTACTTTGAATTGTCCTTTTTTAAACAATGATATGAAACATTTTCACAAAAGGGACATAAAAGGCTAATTTTGAAGCTCAATAATTTTTTTTACCAAAAGTTCCATGTGTATCAAATAACAATAAAGAAAGTTATATGTGCCTTTTCTTTTAAATGTTATATATTTTTCATCAGTATGAATGAAAAAACAAATATTTGTATCCGAAAGCTGAAATGCCTTGGTTCATAATGGTTTTCGTTAGCTTCTAAATTAACGTATATTATGGTTTTCGTTAGCTTCTAAATGTAATCGCAATTTCTAAAATATTGCGATTACATTTGGTTCCATAATTGTGGTAAACTTCCCTTTTTAAGAATAATCAAAAATACTGCTTGAAACAGTTTGTGTTCATAAATTTTATTATTTTAATCAATAATATTATTAGGAGAAAAGCGGTATTATAATATTTTTAAAAACTACGTTCTAGGAAAATTTACTAATTAATTATTAATTGGGGCAGATATTTAAGAATTGTAGAATGGCATGTCTGAAAATACTTTCCTTAAAAGTTACACTACAGTTAGTCTAAAAATAAATAAGAAATTCTTTATAAAAAATAATTTTATTATTAAGAACCAACATAAAACATAAAAATAAATTTACTTAACATTACAACACACTATTTGAACAATAGTACAAATCTTCATCGTCCAATTCTAGCTTAATTTTAAGCATCATCAGTTTCCTGTTTTTTGATTAATAACGCACTTTACTGGAAAAGAAAAAATAAAAATAATGAATATCTAATAACCAAATGCATATATCTTATACATAGATGTACAAAGGATCATTCAAAGTAGCGAAAATTCTAGGCTTTGTAATTTAGTTGGACATCTTAGAGAGTAGGGCTGCATTTCTCTTCGTTCCTCCAGATGTTGCCAAAATTGGACTAGTAGTAATTGTTATCAACACATTTCAGTTTACGTCTTTTAAAATCTGTTGATGGAAAAAGGTTTGAAGGAAATTTTTTGCTTAATTTTATACAGCCTGTGTGTTCTATAAAAGGGGAAGAGAAAAAGTGTGTGTACTGTGGACGCAGTCAGGTGATCAGTGTTCACGTTTACAGAGTGCTTAGTGTTGCCATGCTTTTTTTATACTATTTAGATTGCTATACTGTTCATATCGCTGATGTGCATTGATGAATATATCCTTAAATCTTCATTTGTAAAAAGTTTTACTGTTTGGAGTTGTAAAATAGGTTCCAAATTTTTGGTTAATTGTTTTTGCTTTTCTGGCATGTTTATTCACAAAATTTATACAATTTGTTAACACACAAAAATACTAACTTAGTATTTGAAAGTACTGAATAATATCAAAATGTTTAATTAAATTATTCTTCATATTGAAGTTGAGGATGGCAACGGTTTATGAAGCCATTTGAAACGGAATCCTAAGTTTTAAAACTTTTATTTTGGAAAACAGGTAAGATGTTATATTTATATATTTAAAATTGTGAAATTTAAGGTTCCAATAATACAGTCCATAGGATTTTGTAAATAAATACATATCAATACATTAATACATCGTGATAAATATATACAGTAATGATTTTAAGATCGTCTGCGTCTGCGTAATGTTTAAATGAATTATGTACGTGGAAAAAGTAGTAAACACAATAAAAAAGTTAATTAAAATGTAAGTTTAAACTTAAGTAGTAAAAACTGTAAAACTCTAAATAAGTTAATAAAAAATAATATACGAAGTAGTAATTCTACTGCGGGAAATTAAATTTTTCAAGACGATAGCCAAATAAATTATTGATTTGCATTTTGCAAGCTGTTTTTATGTTAGTTTTAAGATATTATGAGATGAATGAACTTTAAGGCATGAGTTGTCTATTTTAGTTACTGTTTACTTTAATTATTACTTATTGTTGCTTTAGCTACTATTTCCAACGTTAGCAGTGACATCAATAGGATTCAAAAAGATGAACAGAAAAACTGGCGAAGGAAAAAGAACGGAGAAGAGAAAAATATGGTGTGGCAGACGATCAATATTTACGTTTACGAGTAACGCTTTCGAAAATGAGATCAAATCAAAAACAATCTGAGAGAGATCATTGAATAGTCAACAAAGTTTAGTCCTTCCCGTACGTTCGATATGTTAACATCAATATGAAAACATAAAAAAAGATCACTGGGGAATGAAAACAAGGGTTGAACGTTGGATTACACACAGGTACGCTGCTTAGTCATTTAAATTTAAAGCTTTGTTCGATTCATTCGGAAATCGGGAGTTACTAATTAAAGACTAAACAGCAAATAAATGTAAAGTTCCGAGTGAGTTAAATTACAAAAGACATTTGAAACGAAGAGAAAAGCCTGTACAAATCATGTGTCAATATAGTTTCATTTTTTTACATTCGTATGAAACATGTCGCAATAGATAGGAGGGAGAAGTACTTATTCTTAAAATCTCGACCGGATAACATCGAAAATATTCGTGAGTTTAGAAATGATTTAAATTTTTATAAAGAATTTAGAGACCGATTTTTAGTTTGTCTTGTGCCGGAGGTCAAAAAAGTCTTGATCAGGAACTCCTTTTTATTCCAAACTGAAGTCGAAATGTAACTATCGTCAAGTAGTGTATGATGGCAATAATATGTAGCCATTTTTTGATCACCTCCCTTACTCTCTAGATTGGTATCTGCAAATTTCTTTCTATTCCCTTAAATAAAATTCCAATCTAGAAACAATCATCTAAATTGAAAACGAAGAAATGTTCTTAAACTCTCCTAATTGGAACGAAGAAATGCTCTTTTAAAAAAAAAATGTTACAAAGAAGTACACTGCGCAAAACAATTGGAACATATCTGCCGTTCTACTGGGTTGAAATTGAATTTACATTTATTGTTTTATTTTTATCCAATAGTTAAAGCTATAGAAAGTAAAACTTACCAGTCTGGAACATTTTCTATCGCATCACAGGTGTAGGATTCTAAGTTGAAAGCTGAACCGTAACCGCAGTTGAGCAAACGAGGTTTGTCGTTCACGCAGACAAAGAGTTTTTGGCAGTCATTAGGATGAGGATACCTTGGGAATGGATAAAATTTGGAAGAAAGGCCGGTGATCTTATCAGGGCACCTGAACCCGACAATTGCTGTAAAATTGATTGGTAAATTAATGTCTAACAGAATAGTAAATAAGTGGAGCATTCAAATAAAAATCAATAACAGTTAACTGAAAAGAAAAATGTAATAAAAATTTTTAAAAAATATTCTTCTATAATTTTTCCTACAATTCTGAATACCAATGAATATTAGAACCAATGAATACCTACTACCTCGCAGTACAGTTTTGCTAAAAATGTTTTTTCATTGTAAATTTAAAAATAAAGCGATACAACAATTAAAGATTTATTTATAAAATAAACTAAAATTTTAGTGTTATTTATTTAATATTAATCATGGTTTCATAACAAGGCAAGAATTAATATATATATATATATATATATATAATTAAGTGCAGTTTAACAATTAATTAACACTGAAGCAAATGGTATTTTAAGGGATATCTTTTAACATGTGTAATACTTACTGCAACAATATAGAACAGTGTAATTAAATTCTCCGAAAATTGTGAATAATTTACACTATTTACAAACAGTTGACTTAAAAAATTCAACTTAAAACTGCAGATAATGAGCCAGGATTTTCTTGTATTTCAAATTGTAAATATTTGTAATTCTTGGAATAGAAATATTTTATTTTGAACTTAATTAACCAGTTAATGTTTTAAACTGCATTTGGCCTTCTTACTTGCTCTCACATTCTTCACTCCAGAAATATGCAAATTAAGTATCAAAATAAATCGATTACAAAAGGAAGATAGCGCCTACAGTTCATCTGTCAAATGCTAATCTGTGCCGAATTATTGAGTGATTATTGTTTTAAAAGACACGTCGGAATACTCGCCTTGCTGAATACAATTGTTAGTTAACAACTAAACAAATCAGCTTTAATCAGGGGTATAACAGAGAATAACTATAATTCTGCAAAAGAAGGAACTAAAAGATATTTTTGGAAATAGATATCGTAGTCATTATGTTTATATATTACTGTTCATACATTAAAGCTGTAAAGTTTAAGTTGCATTTAAGCAAAACTCTGTAGTCGCAAATATTATTTTAATTATTTTCTATTTATTTTTGCAATTAACTACTTTCTTAAGTGATAATTCATGCATCACAGTTCAGCTAGTTAGCAAATAGCAAAGTTGAATGTCCAAGTACACAAGAGTGCATCTTTAAAATTGTGATTAATAAATTTAAATACATATAGTGAGTACAAAGCTTCTTTGTTTGTCACCAAAAAGAAGCTGCTTATATTCATTTTATAAAGCAGTCACCCCATAAACCGTGGGACTGAGTCCTGCAATGCCCCTTCTTTCTTCAAGGAACTTGGGGACATAGGAGACTTCTCTGCCTTAGTTTTACCAAGCTTGAAGGTCTGTTATAATTTTTTGCGCGGATGAGAATTTCATGACGACCTCAGAAAGGAGATAGAAACCTCTCGTCTCTGTTGGAAGGGGTGGACTTTTCCCTCTTCGCAGACGTCAAATTAATAAATTCCTACCTCCAAGGTAGATGTCGTAGTTAAGGAGGGAATTGAAATAACAAAACAGGACCCACATGAATTGATAACAATAATATTGTTATCCTGTGATTTGATATTATTGTTGTGGTCTTTTCACTAACGAGTCGACATTCAGATAAACATTTGATTACAAATATGTATAAATCTGGACAAAGCAAAGAAAAGGAAATTTTTCCATAAATATGGAATCTGACAGTTATTGTAGTACATATATGATGGATCGGGAAGAAGAGATCGAAGGACGTAATCCCCTGCGCGGTTTAACACTGAATTTGTATCTGCCAAGCGATATCGAGACGAAGCCTTGAAACTTTGTGTAAAGCTTTGTAGAGGTACATGTGCATCTGATTTTTTTAATGAGTGACCGTATGTATGCACACCTTATGTATGCACACCAAGAAAAGCTATTGATGAATTTCTTTTAACCCAAGACATTAACCAATAAATTGAGCAGCCAAATCACCCGATTTAAATCCCATGCATTTCTTTAAAGATTGTTGCACAGTGAAATGCCCTTTCCTGAAATCTTTGTACTTTGAATTCATAGTCATATATTGTTTCATTGTTGAACGTACAACAGTGTAACTTTCTTCTGTGTGCATTCACACTTGAGTTGTCTACTTGCATTCGTATGCTGTGGTGTAATGCATTAACCCAAACAAATTTATTCGATTTTTTCAGAAACAATATTTTTGGACATGTGAGGATATTTTTGGACACTCATTTAACATCAATTGTACTTGCTTTAAAGCACGTAGTTTTTCTACGTTTTAGCTATGGAAGACTGACTGTCTTTGTATGAATCTAAAGAATGCAAAAAGTTACGCTCTAATTTCAAAACCAAATCTACGCTGGAATTAGAATTATGGGAACTATTTTATCAGATTTCAGTTCGGCAACACTGGACAATATTTTAAAAAGCATTGTGCCCTTATAGCTGTGATAAATTATCAGTCCTAAACGTAATGTAATAAGTTCTGTATTTATTGTAATACTAGTTTCCACTTTATTGTTTACATTTAGGGGTTCGAATACATCTGTTAATTTGGTTTAATTATTGAAATACCCATTTATATCACTAAATGTTCACAGTCAAAAAATTACTCTGATTTCTACTAGAGATGCAATTTTAAATAGATGCAATAATCTCCTATAGATGCAATTTTAAATAGATGCAATAATCTCCTATAGATGCAATAATAAATTCTCCTATAGATGTGTTGCTTATTAAAACCCACGCATGAAGAATGCATAAAAATGTAACTAAGCATGATAAATATGAAAAGAAAAGTTTTTAATTTCAAATAAAATAAGCACAAAATAATTAAAATTTTATAAAGTTATATGCATGTATAACACAACTGCACTCACCTTCACTATCGCATCCTGGTACTTCATCGGGCCATATGCAAGAATGCGAATCGTCTTGGTAAGCAAGGCCTTCTTCACAATCAGTTATATTAGGTTCTCCCCATGCACATCGAATATATTGGGTGCAACTGTCGGAGGGGAAAATACCCCATTGGTAAGGGCATCCAGGACTGCTGATTGGAGGTTCTGAAAAGATTGGGAGTGATTATTGGCAGTGATTTATGGCAGTAAAGCTATTAAAAATACTAGCGAAATATAGAATGCAGTTATGTTTAACCTCACGTTCAACTGCTATTATACATATTTAGATTTCTCTCGGGTTTTACAACATAGCCCAAGTGGGTTCATGGTCTCTGCGATGTTGTAACCAAGTCAACCAAGTCACGTGACGTTTTCGTGACGTCTTTCTTCCCAAAACATAGGCGGGAAGGGTTTTTCATTTCAGGGGAGTTTCTCGTCTAGTCTTAAAATATATCAGAAAAATTAATTCCCATTCATATTCTTTTCATTGGATATAGAGCACGCACAAGTTTCACTTCACATTCTTTTCTTTGAAAATGTAACATATATAGAATGAAGCGAGTTCATTTTTAAGGTCATTGTCGTAGGTTCTGCTACATCTATATACTAACTTATTATGCAAGTCAGTGATAACACTTAAAGTCTAATACAAAAAACTTTACTATGCATGGGATATTTTTTGACAGTTCAACTTTATAGGAGAATATTATGGCTGGCAAGAAGCTGCGTATGAATGCCATAATTTTATAAAAAATTTAACACACACTTGTGGAGACACTTAGGTATTTTGAAATAGTAGACATGAAAAATGAGCAGTGTCCTCGCGGAGACTCGAACTTCAGACCGCTCGAATGCGCGCTAAGTGTACTGACTATTACACCACGAAGGCATGCTAAGAAGGCGGGCGAAATACCTTATATAGTCCCCCTTTTAAAGGGCAACCAGGAACTAGGGAACCAACCACCAAATCCTGGTGATGGAGAATCATTATCTACCACCTTTTTTTAGTTCGGGCGCCACTGTAGAAACACTAGGTTAATTCGGAGATGGAGACATGAAAAGTGAGCAATGCTCTCGCCGGGACTTGAACCTCGGACCTTTCAAATTAGCGCCGAGAATGATGACCATTATACCACGAAGGCACGATAAGAAGGCGGGAGAAGTACCTTATAAACTTTAGTAAAATAAAAATCATGGGCTTTCTAGTACTTTTTAACAATTTCCTCATACCGAGAAATGGAAATGGAATCGAGAAAATTCCTTTTGATTCTATGTTTTATGCCATATATTTATTTTCAATGAATAAACTGCTATATTAAAATTTTACTTTCTCATATATATATATATATATGTAATAATTGGTAGACAGGCACAGGAATGAGGAAGCTTGGCCTCACAGTCTGAGCGTTGTTTGGCAGAGTGGGATGTAGCGAAATGACGACACAGAAGAATTTAACTTTATAGCTCCATATCTTTATTCAATTCAAACGGCAAATCATTATTCTTTTAGATGAAATTCTCCTAAACGGTAAGTTTCAATGATGATTTAAAGCACATTTTTTCCCTCTAAATGTACAGATGGCCGAAGCAAATTCAATATTCCTTTTCACTAGACATTTGAACTTCTGGATTTAATGGGAGATTACTTTTATTCTGTAAATACTACGTGTGATTATTTTTTGAAGCACTTGCAAAACACCACAGCAGAAGGATGATAGGTTATTTTTTAAACACTGAAAAAACAAATTTGATGAGTCACTTCTTTCACATTGGCTTTGAATTTATCGCAAAACGATGATTTGTAGAGCTGAATAAATTTTCCGTGGAGGTCTCGGGCTGCAGGAAATTATCCTGTCGACTAATTACAATAAACGCAAAATTTAGAAGTACTGATGTAGGAACACCGAGACGTACAAACGCAAAAAATACTGATAACGAAGCACGTAGCTGCTATATTGAAGAAGAAGCGTTCTGATTGTGTAATAAGCTAATATGTTGAGTTCCTAACATCTAAAAAACTTGACAGTCGAGGCAGTTTTAATTCCATTTTTATTTGCAACTGACTTTTGTGGCCACAATCACTTAGCACTCTAGTCGTGCCTATTCACATTTTTGATATTATTGCGATAGCAGGCAAGATAGCGAAATTACATCCCAGCAGGGTAGAGAGCGAAGCTGAAGTGCGTAGTTATCCGATATGTAAGCACACGAAGAGAAAGGTTTTGGTTTGAGTTAAAAGTTTCGGTTCCCAATTATTACGTCATAAGGGCTGCGCAGACCATGAAAAATGGAATGATCCAGAAATGACGCAATCGATTGAAGAATTTGTAAAACAGAGAGGGAGAGATAAAGGGTTACCGTTAGTTTAAATTATAAGTTTGATTTACATATTTTTTATCATACATAATAATTTTTAAATTGTTTCAGTAATTTAAAATCTGTTTTTTATTTATTCTAATTCCTATTTTACCTCTTAGTGTTTTGTTGCTGCAGAGTTTAAATTGGATGAATATTGACTTAATGGAATGATCTAGAAATGACGCAATCGAGAGAAGTTATAACGATTTGTGAAACAGAGAAGGAGAAATAAAGGGTCACCGTTAGTTTAAATTATAATTTTGATTTATATATTTTTATCTTACATATATATATATATATTCTTTGACTACTAAACTCGAAATTTATTCAACTGGATTTCTTCTTTTAGAACCACATTAAAACATTAAAGTAAAAAGAAAAATATCTTGTCCATCTGATGAAAAGATCCTTAGTGAAATCTCAAACACTAACTTGGCCTTTTTTTTCTCGAAAGCGGGTTGAGATGAAAATTATTCCACTGTATACAGTGCTGTTTAACGGCGCACGCATAAAAATATTATAATGCTCGCAGAATCTGTTGCAGCTACTAACTACAATAAAAGTATTTCAGTGAATACTGCAATAACATTTAATGGAAGTCAAAACTAGTTTTGCAAAGTTATCTTTCAAATTCCCAAAAAAGGAATTAAACTGAACAAACCTACAGTCTTTTCACCGCAATCTACTTTCCAGTAGAATGTACAGAAGTCGTACACAGGGCTCTTGTCATCGAATACCAGTCCATTGGGACACTGTTCATGCGAAAACGTTCCATTTTCGCATTTGTAGTACTGGTCACAAGCTGTCTCATGTGGCCATCCGAACACACCTTCCTCCGGACAGCCTCCCGCAGGACTTCTGGGAATGTGATCTGCTTGAGGCGCACCTGTCGAATTAAAGAAAATATTCTCAAAATGTTAAACATGACTAATAAGTAACCTTAACATCTATGGAAACGTGATTAAAGTTTGATGTTATTAGTCATCAGCATTAAATATATTTTTATTCTTTGAACGTCAGTAATTATTGTTAATTGCCGCAAATCGCAGATATAATGTTTCGATTGAGATAATTCTAGGCAGTTTAGCTACTGATAGTTTGAATTTCAGTAAACTAGTTTTATTATATATTATAGTTAATACTACTACTAAGTTCACAGCAACCTATGAAATGCTCCACTGGTGGCTAATTTCTTTACAGGTGCAGAAGTTAGCCGCTAGTCGGGACATTTTAAGATGAGTCCGTGAATTCGTGGTCTTCTTCATCTTCTTCCGCCCTCGCCTAACGAAATTTAGAAAGTGTTCTACAACAATACTAATGGCTATTTCAAAATAATAGTTATATTTATTTCGAATTGTCTCTTTAACAGCAGTTTTGCTGATAAAGCAGTATCGACACTACAGTCCGATGTGATGTAATTCCAATATTGTTTTGGTACATTCAAATATTCGATATCTGTGCAAAATATTTTCATATTTATCTTAATATTATTATTAATAGTTAAGGCTTAAAATTTAACATAAGTTAATGATAATATTTCAGACACTCGTGAAAAGTAATAAATCAGCCTCTTTAAACCTCTAAAAAGGTCTTTTTAACAACAGGCTAACAGAAATCTACGCATACATTACATATATATTATTAGAGAAAAAAGTGGAAATTTTCACTTGTAGGAGGAAGTCCACTTTCAATAATAATAATTATTATTATGTATTAATACATACCGTTAACACTAGTAACTGCAATACCAGACCAAAAATACATTACCGGTATTCAGTACTTTTTAAAATGTTCTACCGGAATATCGGTATTAATATCAGTATTAGGAATTTTTCAGAGAAGGTACAATAATACACTTGTTTCTTTCTATATTTATTATTCGTAGTTTTACACAAAAAATGTATGAACTCTAAAGATATAAATAGTTTTGTTACGCAAAAATATAAATAAAGGAACAAGTATTATTACCAAATATGGTTAATAAGAACAGTAAAATAGTAATTTAAAACATTAGAAATCAAAAATATAATATAAAAAATAAGCCATTACACTATTACAATACAATAAAGAAGCAAACCATTAAAACTATTATTATCATTAAGAAGAGTAAATATCACATAAAAATCGTGTTGTGTATTCTATTGTATAATATCTATTAATAGAAAAAGTAACTAATTTATTTTTCAAATGTGATCGTAAAAAACACAATGCATCTATTGAATTGTCATTAATCCTGGAACGCATTTTTGTGCACAGATTACCTGCAGTTTAAGATTCTGTTTCCGCATCTACGCTTGTCGGTGGTACTGTTAATAATAAGCCATAGTATATTTCCTTTAAATATTTGCCAAGTCCTAAGTCGGAAAATTGCGAACACTGTTACTATAGTTTTAACAGTTCCCCTTATTGTACTAATAGATTTTGGTATAATTTGGAAATCTTTTGCAATTAATCATTTTATCAGTTCAACAGAAGTGCAAAATACTCAAATTTCGCTTGTATTTTCTCCAATCTTCGGCTTTGTTGCCGATAATACAGCGACAAAGCCGAAGTATTATCGGTAGATATTTTGTGGTCTTCGACGTCATTATTATTCGTTATGGATAAATAAAAGTGAAACCATAAACGTTACAAATCTAAATATTTTGAATAATAATGTAAAATACAAAATTTGTACCTATTTTTGGAAAAGGAACTTGCCAATTTAAGAAAATATCTAAATGTTTAAGATCTAAATGTTTGGATTTAAAACACTACGCACAATTTCACTACGATCATCGTTAAACTAAGCAGTTCTGACTAAAGGGTTTCTAGGCGGTACTGTCTTATCTCCAGCGAATGCAGGAGTCTATTTTCGAAAGCTAGCATAGCATTATTAACGTATTTCAAATAACAGTACATGCCCAAAAAGTTAAATTAAACCCTTTAATAAAAAATATTTATTATTTATTGCTAACAGAGAAAATACCGGTATTTTTCTTTAGCAAATACCCGTTTCACGAAATTGCAAAATAGCACGAAAAACCGGTATTCGGTATACCGGTGTATCAGTAATGCAATCACTAGTTAACACTTCTTACGTTTTGCCTGCAGAAAAAGACTTACACAATTACACAAGCAGCTTTCAGTCTATACGCCTCCAGTTGGCTACCTTTGTCCTACTCACCTGATAATAGGCTATTGCGACAAAGCTACTTTAATTTTTTTTTTCTTTTGTTCATTATCCATGATAGAAAATATGTAACATTTGAAACTGATCCACATAGTATTACTATAGAAAAAGAGATTTTCACGTAATTTGTAGAAAGAAAAGGTTTAAAATTTGGTAACTTAAGTTAGATTCTGAAAAAGCACATTTTCACATAGAAAAGACTAAATTCTTTTACAAAGAATTTGGTTTTAAAAATAAGATTTTAGCTTTAATATTTTTATTGTCATGTTAAAAATACGTCTTCTATTAACATTATTTTGTTTTGTTTATTTTTTTACTTTTCGTAATTTTTGCTTATGACATGAATTGCGTTTTGTATAATTCGCCACTGGAAATAAAATGCGACATATTTTTACCACAGTTTTCATGAGTTCTCCCTATTCCTGATCGCACAAATTTTCCAATCAAGTAGTGATTTCCATATAGATTTCCATCATATTTTTGTGAATTATGAATAATTAAGAGACGTAATTTAAGGTTTCATTTTAAGATAATTGATAACTTTAAATAAATCTTTAACATTTTCTTTTCCCTGAATGGCATTACGCTATACAGTTTTGGATTAAATTGAATTATAGCAAAACACACGAAAATTATCTGCCTAAGAGGAGGGATACCCTTCTTGAAAGACTTTTTTAAGAGGAAAATACCTCGTATTCATGCTACCCATGAGGTAAACCGCGAAAACTCCCATGCAAATAGTCCAGGATTAAAATTCTGTCAAACTATAACAGTGTTCTGCGATTTCACCGCTTGATCGCGATGGGCCTGTGCTTTACAGAAATACGCAGTTTAATGAATTTTGAAAGACGAGGAAACTTAGGTACGACAGGAATATTCGACTTCGTCTCCAGATTACTCAACCATTAAGTTTCAACATTCAGTTTCTGTTGTGTATAGTTAAACTTTTCAGCAGATGATATTTATTTTAACTTTTGATTGATTATTTGTTGAGAATTTGGTTTATTGAATTAAACTCTGGAGAAGAAATTTTTCAAAAAGAATGCAACGATTCCTGAAGTAGCTCTTTAGAATATTGATAACGAGATAAAAAAAAATAATTTACTTTCTGAGGTACTAGATAATCTGCTATTTCGTTTTTCAAATCGAGTACCTAATCATTAAACTTCCGTTCCCTCTGTTAATCTGTGGAATACGTTTTAATAATTATTATCATTATAAAATATGCCTAATGATTTCCCGAATTATTTCCTGTTAAATGCCACGTGCTTTATTTAGAGAGCTAAACGGCGTTTGCAAAAAAATGAGAATTCTATGACCCGCTCAAATTCGTGCGCCTCTTACGAAAGAAGCGGGAAAGGACCCGAAGCTTTAGTTCGAACTAGCAGAACTAGTTATACTTATGTAGGTCGTATATAATCGAGGTCGTTTTTGCTTTTAAACTTCCTCATAATGGAATAGAGATATCTTTCTCTAATTGTCATGAACGGAAAGAGAACCGTTCTACAACTTGCACTTTTTTCTTCTTCGCTTAGCCCGTGCGTCTGAGCAACGTGATCTCCGTTAAGTTTATGTAACTGTTAATGACGAAGTCTGAACAAGATCACTTATGAATTTGAAAAGATTAAGTTTCTAAGATATAGTGAAATGCATTAAAAGTCTTGTTATTACTGTCGTCTCTTACGCGTGATGATTATGAGCTGTAGAGTGCATGAAAATTTCATGGTATTAAAGTTTAGGAAAAATTCAGCATTAGGCTTTGGTTTGCAGAAAAGCCCCACACATTTCGGGAGAATGGAACAAAGGACTAACACGGAATAGAAGCAGAAGCAAACATTCACAGCAACAGGCACTAATAATAATAGCTAGGAGATTGACAGTGATTACATGATTCCTTAACCCTTCGTTTAGCTTCACTTAAAACTAAATGAAATTTTCCATCAGCTGATGAAACAATTTTTAAAGCTTTCACGTTCTTAAAATTTATGAAATTTAGTTAATGATTTTTAATTCCATAATGCCATTCAGCTATTTCCAAAGGTTTTGAAATTCTTATCTCATGTTTTTAAGAGACCCCTGTAAAATATTGTTCCTTATTTCTTCATTTATTTCATTTTATTTCCTCTATTTAAGCATGCAAAAAAATAATTTTGTTCCTTGAAGATGAAGGCTCAGCGCAGATCTTTTTTATGAAATCAACACCAATTTATGCCCGAATTTTACTGAGTTTGAAATGTACCCTGGCGTTCTGCTTTTAAGCTAGCATTTTTGTTTCAATTTCATATAATTTTTATATCATATGAATACTGCCCATAAGAAGTTATCTTTCCAATTACCTTTGTTTATCATATATAATTATCATTTTAAGAGAAGCTATTTAATAGTAACACCGGTTTGAACATAAATAAATGACATATAATTTTAAATTAATAAAAAACTGAAATCTCTGTATGTATTTAAACTATCTGTGTTACTTATAAAACAGAATGAATCTTCAAAATATCGGTGTTATGGAAAAAACGGAAAAATATCAGGGCTTATCATAAGGAGATTTACGTTTAAGATTTATAGAGTCAATACTCACATTTTGCTCACATTTTTATGTAATGAAACATCATAAAAGGAGTTTGATTTATTATATTATATCAAAGCACACACTAGGATTATCTTCCTAACGGGATGTCTTCTAGGAGAACTTTCTAAGTAAAACTAAC